CACCGCTACGGACTAACACATTACTCACTAGAAAATGAACGAATATAAGCGACGCAACGTAATATCGACAGATGCATATTAGTTTATAGCTCCGTAGGATTGCAAAAAATAAATCTATCACGAAACTAGACAAGGTAACGTTGCACGATGTTTCACCCGTAACCTCGAAAGTGTGACAATCAAAAAATGAGGACACTAAATAATTAGTCTGTGATAGCTACTGTACAGAAACTGTTCGTCACTTAAAAACTGGAAGTGGTACGCTGGTCCTACTATTAAATTCGACATACTCTAGTTGACACCATTTTGAATGTTTTCACATAGGCCTACTGTATATGTCAATGTGTTCAGTTAAATTTCGATTCTTTTAAATATGTAGTAATAATATATGTATTATGATTCTCAAAATGGTTGTTAATGTTATCATCATCGTATTTATCAGCTTCGTCGCCATTATCGTCCGTATCATCATCATCATCATCGTCATGATCTTCATCATCATTATCAATAATAACAACTTCTTTTTCTTCTTTTTTATCAACATCACCATCATCAGTGATGATGAATAAACAGTAACAGTAACCCAGTAACAGTAACAGTATAAATGCAAGTTAATATTGAAGCAATTTGAAATATGAAAAACTAGCGTATTTCCCTAAAAGAGTTGTATAAATACAGTATATTTTAAAATTATATATCAATATATTCATCATCGTTATTATCATCATCATAATATAGGCCTATGGTACGGTACATAATCATCATTATCGTCATCGTCATCATTATTATCATTATCATCATCGTCTTCATCATATTTCCACCACCATCATTATTATTACCACCATCATTATAATTTATTATTAGGCCTATCACATTTTACGTAAACATTAATTTGACATTTCAAATGATTTAAAACCTGTCACAATGTTTACAAGTTACTAGCTAAAGTGTTTTACAACGTAAAAGTAATCTCAAACAATAGGCTACCATGGAAACCATTGTAAAATTAAACTCAAAAACAGCACCTCTTTTTTTGCATATTAATAGTTAGTGTGCGCAAGGTGAGAGGAAGCCGTTACGAAGCAATTTATAACAAACAGTGACATTTTGTGACGCTTCCGATTTTAATGCTTATTAAGTTAAGTCTACGGAGTTGTTATTTAGATAGAATCTTAATACTTCGATGAGATAAAAATGCTAATATCATTACAATTTTATCACTTGTAATTGAATCGCATTTATCAAAACAAACACAATTTGAGTTAACCTCGTTCAATTGTTGTTCATTATGAAAATCAACGTCATTTAGTTTATTTGAAGGCGAAATTAATAATAGGCTTACTTATGATATTATTAATAGGCCAAATAATATCCTAATAATAACAACAACAACAATAATAATAATGATAATAATAATAATAATAATAATAATAATAATAATAATACTGTGATGATGATGATGACGATGATGATGATGATGATGATGATGATAATGATGATGATGATGATGATAATGATGATATGATGATGATGGTGATGATGATCACGATGACAATTATGATATTGTTGATGACTGACGATGGTGATGATGACAACGGTGATAATGACAACATTGATAATAATAATCAATTTTGGTAAGAATAATAATTACAAAGATGTTGATGAAGACGATGATTTTTCTTTTATTGTAACTGTTTACATACTCTACTTATCTTTTTCGATATTTTAAATAATACATAAATATCATAATAATTATATTCAGGTATGAAATGACCGTAACTAAATCGGAAAGAAATATTTGCACAACTGCATATAACTATCGAGAGTCATCCCAAAACATATCACAATTATTGAATAAAATATTTGAGTTGATTACTTTGTATGTTTAATACCATTGTGACTAATAGAAATAAACACTAACTTAGACCTACATTTATATCCGAAGTAGGCCTAATATAATTGAAAAGAATGTAACGTAGTATTTAGTAAAATACACGAAAGAGAAACTTGAAACTAATTTAAATTTCTATCGACAAACATACTTGTTGTAATTTTATGTTAAACAAACTCATTTAAATTATTTTGTATTGAACTATTATTAATTGTTATTTCAAAGAAAAACAAACATCAAAAATAAATCGTCAGTTACAGCCTTAAAAAGACACAGACAATATAAGAAACAGACACAGGCGAGAAATATAAAAACAACACAAGCATAAGAAAAATGAAATAAAAATTTAATGAACATGCCTTTGCCAGAAGAACATACAAAAAATTAATTTTAAAAAAGCGCAATAAAAAGTTAACAATAACAATTTACTCAACAAGGTATTCAAATATAAATTTTCTAATTTCGTTAATAGAATTACTAAAAATATCAACTTCAGGACACGTACTAACACAATCATAAAGTGTCGATTAACAAATCCATTCTTTCTAATGTTGACCTTAAAAAAAGAAACATCAAAAACATACATTACATAAATTTAATGTATAGATTATACATAGGTCTAAAAATACGTAATGCTTGTTACTAATAAGTACTTTTAATTTAATAATGATTATTAATATAATAATGATAATGATAATTATAATACCATTAATGACAGTGAAAATAATAGGGCTAATAATAATAATAGGGCTAAGAATAATAATAATAACAATAATAATATTAATAATAATAATAATAATAACAATAATAATAATAATAATAATAATAATAATAATAATAATAATAATAATAATAATAATAATAATAATAATAATAATAATAATAGGCTAATCGACATAGACTAAAGCATGATAAACAATAATCTTCGTTACATTAAATGCAGAAACAGTGCAGTCACACAGCAAAATATATCTGTACTGTATTACAAACAAGATGTCATAAACAAATGATTTTGCAAATGAGTGTGCCATTGAAATAAATCGTCTCATAATTGGTGATATTAATATTGGGATGTATAATTCATATACGGTGCGTATTATATACTTACGCAAACGGATCATTACTGCCGATTAAATGTTCATTATCTTGCTGGTTAAGCAATCGTCCAATATTACACAAATGAAACCTAATACGCTTGATGTTCACATCTTCAATTACTCAATTGCCACTTTAAAGCAAATATTTTAATTATCACATTATAAAAACCGTTTGATATTCTTTGGATGTGGCATTTGGTTTAGCACGTATATTATACTTTGTCAGTTTATTTGTTTGTGTTTGCTATTGTTTGATAATTGAATAAAATTACAATTAATCACTGTTCTTATTATGGTAGGTCTAGTGGTTACTCATTTATTGACTGTGTGCATTCCAACCCAAATTGTCCAGAGATCTGTCGTTAAAATATAAAAATATCCAAGTTTGGCAATACGTCATAGTTGTCTGATTGTCACTCGACTGACCACAGCTAATTCTGACCACGGTGAACACGCCAACGTTACTTCGCTAACAACCAAACGAAACGCGTCACACAAGCACACGATGTAGCGTTAGTTTTGTCACATAACTATTCGGTAAAAAACAACCGATTGTTTCTACCATAACTTAACACATTGGGTTAATCAAATCAACCGCAGGACGAATTGGGAAGAACATGTTCATTAAACTGATCGTGTCTGAGTCTGGGTAAGTGTTAATTGGATCACCAAATAAAGTTAAATAAGACTGGAATTGTAGACTAGGGACTGCAGGGCGCAACGAATATTGTTAAATTTACACTGGTAAATATATTTCAATTAATATAGCTAATTTCAACGATAAATTATCATATTGATGAAAGCACAAACCTTGAAGACAGAACAATACATCTATATTAATATTTCAAGATCAATAGGTCTTGAGGTCTATGTTTATTGTAACACAATTTAAATTTGTATTCCAATTCTAAACATTTGTATAAATAAAATGGCAGACATAGCTAGCTAGCGTTGTGTCGCATTCAGAAAGCGTTTTATACGATACACCGTACTAACAACTCCTCCCTTCTACAATTGTTAATTCCCAACAATCCGAATTCATATCAACAATTATTCGTGATAAAGAGCATTAATACTTCATGCGAATGTGTAATGTATCTGATCTGCTAATAGAATAACGTCTACGGGACAAAAGCGTCGATATCATCCTTGCAGAATGAACAAGCGGCGCTCGCCCCGAATGATTTCCGCTCGGGATTACAGGCAGGCGGTCATTTCTCCTCATTGTCGGATTTCGTAAGCGAATGTAAAATTGAATTATGTTGAATCAAAAGTTCAGATGAATAAAAGTCGTTTTTGATTTTCAATCGCGCTTTAAATTAAGGAGAGTTATGATTATCTGTGTTCAAGATTTGATATTGGATTTGATGTCGCGAGCCTTGGCGGAGCTGTGAGATTCAGAGTTGTTAGTTGCACAAATCGCTAGGATACAATAGAACGTTGTATAGATCGCCCTAATAGTTCGTTGTCTAGGTTCTTACTCTCTGTTTATATTTAAAACGAAATGTATAATGGAAATATTAAGATCAATATACTGTATAATACGTTACTTTTATCTGTTGCTAATCAAATTTGTATCTCTAGCCATTGGCCATTGTATCCCACAGCATTGTTGCTTTTCTATATTTTTGCCTTTTAATATTTTTTGCCTTTAGGCCTATATATATA